GCATCAGAATTGTTAGAAAATACAGAATCAACTTTCACTTGGCGAAAAAATTCAATTTTGGTGAAAATCGACTTTCACCCTTGATCCCCGTGAAAATCAAAAAATTTTTTCCCCTTTTCTGTCACCTCCGAGGGTTCATTGGCATCAGGGGGTCAATAATTACAGAATCGAGGTTCACTATTTTTTATTTAAACACCGCCTGCAAACGGGGAGATGAGGGTGGCTAAAATATATTCTGCAACCCTGTCTCCTCGTTGGCTACAAATTTCAACCCTCCGCATACATGCCTTCCCCTTCACCCGCTCGTAAAATCCCGCGGTCTCGGTAGCATAGAGGAGGACTTCTCAGGACCGAAAAAACGGGATGAAGGAATGCGAAACCGTAAAAACCGAAAGGTATACGGTGAAATGGAAAATAAAAAAAATCTGATACAGTCAATTAACGCATTATTCGCTCAATTCCCTTCAAATTACCCAACTTGTCAAAACAATGTCAAAATCACCAAGACGGACTAGGCTTACAAACGTTTATTCAAATATAACACGGCTGACAGAATAGTGATGAATCACGATAGATCAGGGATTTCAGACATAAGTTTGGGCGTAGGTGAGGCCGGCGACTGGGCCGGTGAAGGCGATTGGTGACGAGTACGCCGTGTATGCGGCATATCCTGGATATTGAAGTGGGGTCGCCACAGCGGGAGTCCTGACCGGGGCGTCGACGAGGTTCGAAGCAACGGCTCTGACTGGAGCATCCGCTGGTCGCGACTCCACTCGCTCCGTTATCCTCTGGCTCTGCTGATTCGATTGCTGGGTGAGTCTCTGAGGGGACTGCCTGATGGGACCGGAGCGGGCCTCGATCACCTCCACGTCGGAGTCGGGACCGCTCGCCGGGATCTGAGGCCGGGGAATCCCGTCTGGAGCGCCGCCGGCCACGGGGACTACCGAAGAGACTCCGACACCGGCACCTGGCACCGCGGGCGCAGCGATGGCTGCTAACGCCGGCTCCCTACTGACAACTGCGTTGAATCCGTTGACGGGGTCGGCCGTGTAATCCACTATCCTGCGGGTGCCGTCCGCCTCGATCAGGCTGTAGCTCCCCTGCACCACGTCGCCGTTCCTGGTCTCGTACTGCGCCTTCGAGTCGCCCGTCAAGGCGTCCTGGACGTCGTACGCGAAGCTGTATTGGGGCGCAGCATCGAAGTCTTCTAATCTCGCGGATACAGCGAGCGTCGGGGCCACAGCGGGAGCCACAGGCACTAGGGCACTTCGCACCAGCCCGACTACTGCCAGCATCACGATACACTACGACATGAATGGTTTTTATGGGCGATTAGTGGAGAATTTTTGGCTGAAACGTATGGTGGGACTCGTGGACATTTTTGTCAAATGATAATTCTGGAATTTTAAGGAATTTCGGCATGCAAAATTCAGAATTTGATGAGCTAGCAATGGAAAGTGTAAATTTTATTCCAATTGTTGCATGATAATTAATAAAGAGGTTTTTATAGAATAATTGTGATTATTTTTTGGATTTTTAGGGAATTTTTCTACTGAAATTTTCGGGAGTCATCATTGAATTTCAGTTTCTGATTAAAAAATCGATGGAGAATGGAAATTTCAGTTCAATAATGTCGTAGAAATTGATAAGAATCAGATGAATTTAGGTGAATATATTCTTGATTTTTTAATCGATTGGGTATTTTGCGTAATCTGGTCCTGAATGTTCATCTTTTGACTGTAGATTCAAATGAGTTTGGCAGGTTTTGTCTTTCGGCTGCTCAAGAAAGTGAAATTCCATTCAAATTTGAGTGAAACGTGAAATTTTATGATTTTTTTCAAAATCTCGCTTGGACGAAAACGAAATCTCCCTTTTTTATATTTCTTTGACCAAAAAAACTGGTAAAAAAATTAATTATTAAATTGAATTAAAGTTATCTACAAACTTTCCTTCTAAAATAGATCTCAATCTGGCTTTGCTCAAAGTTACTATTAAATCTACGAAATTTCAGGAAATCTAGGAGAAATACTTAAAGTAATTTGAGTTCTCATAAATTCTGATTTACATGTAAATTCTGTAAAATTGTCCGCAACTCCCAGGACAATTAACATGGGAAAAAATGTTCGCAAATCTAGCGACTCTCCGGATGAAAAGATTTATTCTTTTCTAACACTACCATGCTCCTTACCTTGTAAGCCATCTTTTGTTCGCTTTAGGATCACCAGAAGCACTGATGCCCCAGGGTAAAATTCGTCGTGCTTATATACATCAGGATGTTACCAACACGAAGAGTAGCTATTTCGTGCATTGTAGCACTGCCCCCACCCTAATCCCCAATTGAACGTGTGACCTCCTCATAACTAAATTTCTTCATATCAACTCTTTTGTATTGACGGGTGTCCCGGGGCTCGCGAACATGCGCGGCATTGTGTACACATCAGCCTAGCATTTTAGTGTATTTCGCCAATAAAATTCACACATTTTTGCATTCTTTATTTTGTTTATTCAATTTTACAGAATTTCACCCACTGAAGCATAAATGATCTGACCCTTTGTGACACAAGTTATATTATTCCAGAGAATTTCATTTAGCTTAATATAAATACTAATTTTTCATGCGAAAGTGCAAGACAAGCGGTCTCACGGTGTCACGAGAGTTCGCCTTTCGAAGCGAATTTCGACTGTGTACCCACATTGTCATTGACAATGACAATGCTAAGACAATTCAGCAGCGAAGTGGTAAAACGGTACAAGTCAATTTCGACTATTAACTAGTTTTCAATGAATATCTCGGAATCTAAAGGAGATAGCAAAATTTTTGTTACAATCTTTTTTATAGAGCCGATTGAGTGCTACAATAAATGTAATTATAAAAATTTCGCTATCTGCCTTAGATTCGGAAATATTCTTGAAAAACTCAACTCTGAGATATGTCGACATAAACCGTTTGACCTCTTCGCTACTGAATTTTTGTGACAAAATCCATGAGAATGCTTATCTCAGCATTTTGGGGGCTGAACATCTCTGAAATCCCTGGATTTAACACTGTATGTACTGAGAAAAAAAAATTACTTTTGCCAAGGAATTATTTTCGTGGTGAAGAATTAATTTTTGGGGCGCGTATTTCTGTAGATTAGTCATTCCCCGTCATCTCCAAATATGACAGTTACGTTGAATTACGAGATGATTATGCTATATATGACCTTTTTCAATTTTTTTACGTTCACGATTTTCTTACGTAAAATAATTTGTAATAATGCAAAATATTAATAATTGTCAATGACATATTTCACATTATTGTGACCCATATTGAGGAAGAAAAATGAGCAAAGAAGTTACATTTCTCCCACGTCACAATAAAATCGAATCCCCGATAAAATCGAGGATCAGTTCTTCCCACTGGGATGCTATCTCCTCTTTTATAATCCAATTTATTGAAATTTTCATCCGAATTTAGCAATTTTAACGACTTTGTTTGTGGAACAACGCTTTTATGGCGGGCATGACCCGCCAAATTGAAAATTTATCGTTCGGTTGCATCATTCGAGTGAAAATTACGTCATGAATAGTGGATGATCACTTATGCGGCGCGGCTCGTCACGTACCCCCTGGATTGAGGTAAAACAAAGACCTTGAGGCAATTGTTCGAAGTTTCTATCAGTTTTGCCATAAGGACAATCTCATCAATATAACAGAAAATACTCCCCAATTCTGCATAATCAGCCGAGCATTCGAAATTTTGCAATATTCATTGTGAAACATTGACAGCGGGTTTCCACGTGAACCCAATTGGTGATCAATCTCCCTCGTGAATTCCCTTGGAAATGAGAGAGTGTACAGCAGAGCACTGTATAACGAGTTTATTTGCTATTCACGATAAATGGTTCGATATGATATCTTTAACTAGATTCATGTTCCACGTTCAATGTCAACGGCCTATTTGCAGCGAGACTGACTGTTTTGAATGCGACTCTTCGATTGAGTGTTGCCCAAGTTTTTTTTTTCGAAAAATGAGTGGGAATTCTTTGCACGTCACGAGGAGGCATACGTGATGTGTGGTAAGACTTGGCAAACCGTTGAATCAATTGGTTTAAAATTAATTCGTAAGCTAAAATGTAAATAAAATGTAAGCTAATATTTAATTGATGCTACGCATTACGGAGTCGACGTGAATTGGGAATCACTAAGTTTATTTTGTTGAACAGATTTTATAGGTTTAATTTTAATTACATATAGACCTCAATTGATTTAAGAACAGATAATAACTTGATGACGGATACTGTAAACTTATTTATTGTTCTCTATATAATTACAGCTTTTACAGGTTTCAAGGATGGAATCATTGATGCGATGAAATTTCTCTTGAACGCATTTATTCAAACAGAGGTTCATAACACACAGACATTATTACAAAATTATCATTAGTATTTACCCAACATTTGTGTGGTAAATAAATTATTCAAAGATTGGCCATCATTGACGTAAAAATATCCTCTTATTTTTTTCTAATATGTACAGGTGTCTAAATATGTAGGACTAGCTAAATTAATCATCTAGTACACTGTAAAAAATGTGGTGTTGAGTTCCGGTGTTGAAGTTACACTGCATCGTAAGACGCCGCATGTGAAATCTGGCGTTAATTCGACACCAATCAGTGTACCACACAGTAAAAAATTCTCAGTGAATTTCGACTCTGGGTCCACGCCAAAAGGAGTGAAAACCAGTCACCGCTTTTGGTGTGGATGCAAGGAGTACATTAATTCCGGAGTTGAGTAATGAATGGAGTGAAAATTGACGCCGCTATGGTGTCAACATGGACATGGTAATCAACACAGTTTGACTCGGGGCTGAGGGTGAAATTCACTTTTTTTTAATTTTTCTGGTAAATTATTGATCGGATTGACGTGAAAAAATATACAGTTTTTGCTTTTTATCGTTACTTAATTCCAGAAGAAATGATGCACTACCATGAAACTTCGTGAGTCAGTCGATAATGATAAACCGCGAAAACGGTATATTATTTCGCGTCAATCCGACGAATAATTTGCCAGAAAAATGAAAAAAAAATGTGAATGTTGGCCGAAAGGGTGTAGTACATCCTTAACGCCAATTTTTTACTCTGCGGGAGGTTCACACCGGGTTTTTTACTGTGTAGGTCTCATTCAAAATCTGAAACCGAGAGCAGGAGCGGGCGCGAGGGGTGCAACGGCATGCGGAACGGCGGGCACTACAGCTTTAACGACCGCGGGCTCTCGATGGACGACGGCGTTGAAGCCGTTGATGGGGTCGGCTGTGTACTCGACGATTCGTCTCGTTCCATCGGCTTCGATGAGGCTGTAACTTCCGCTGACGACATCCCCATTTCTCGTTTCGTGTTGCGATTTGGAATCGCCGGTTAATGCGTCTTGAACGTCGTAGGCGTAGGTGTACTGTGGGTGGGGATCGTATTCGTGGACGGGGTTCAATACTGGGGCCACGGGAACCGCTGGTGCCAGGGCTAGAGGCGCGGCGGGCAGTAAACCCCCCGAGACGGCCGCGGAGAATCCGATGACAAGGATGAACTGTGGAAACATAATATACACTGTTACAAAATTACTCTTGAAATTTCAAGTGAAAAATCTTGCAATTTTTAACAATGAATAATTTACATGGAATTTTCATATGACAGTGAAAATCGAGAAAATTCAGGCAAATTTCGTTCCGAATTTTTAATCTCTTGAAAATTCAATTGAATGTAATGGTTAATTCTCGAGATAGGTGTGAAAATCCAAATTATCATTGAAAATTCAATGATCATTCATCATGAAAAACTTAATTGTATTCAATTTCCAAGATGAATCAGGAATTCCATGAGCAATTTAGTCTGAAATTGAATTCAAGTTCCAAATATTGAAAATTCAAATGCATCTGTTACTTTAACTTCAAAAAATTTCTAATAGTGTATGATGGATTTTTTGGTATCTAGAAGTTTTTTATTCGGGTAGGCGGGGCATGATGTTTTTTGCGTCCAAAACCGCAACTCTGGATAAAACAGGCTATTTTTATGTCTTCCTTTGCTATTCATCTTGATTTTCTCCAATTATAAAGGATTATTTAGTCGTAGAATTCACAAAATTATCGAAAAACAGACGGAAGCCAATTGAGTTCTCAGAAAATAGTATGGAGTTTCTCAGAAAATTTGAAACCAACTATTACTCAATTTTCAAAAATTTCCACCAGTGCGGATTTTTCTCTTTTGCTTTGAAAAAATTATAGCGCTCCAACTGTAATTTCTAATGAAATATTATTCTCTCATGAACATTACTCGAAAAAGATGAATATCGAGGGATTTTGAATCAATTCCTACCGTAAAACGATTACAAAATAAGAAAATTAACTCGGAAGAGAGGAAAAAAATAATTTTTGGTCTTCACATAAAAATGAAATGTGAAGAAAGTAAAAACTAGAAAATGCGTTATCAATTCCTCCCGGGATACAAATACTGTACAGTCGCCCTCAAAAATTACATTACAAAAAGGGGAAAAAGATTTTCTATTCATGAACATCCGCTGATTCGTCATTTGTCAAATTTCCAATCGACGTTTATGAGAAAAAAAAAATCCAGGATACCTGAGTGTTCATAGAATGCTCAATACGCAATAAGAAAAATTGTTCCAAACACGGAGGCTCACCTTAGCAATCATATTGACCACGATAATTCCAGTCAAAATAAGCAAGTTAGTCAACTGACTCAGAAACCAAACTGATGGTTCGATGGAACATCACCTTAGTATTTATAGGAAGCAACAATGGGTTCACAAGAGGAGACACGGACTGTGCAATGGTGTATGGGTTTGGATTCATCCTACATGCATTGTAAACAGTTTGACCGGGTCGTACGTGATGGCTGCGATCGGCTGTCAGGAAAAGTTTCGCTCGCTCCAATTTACGTGACCAATGCTTTCGCTTTTTTTTCTCCCTCGCCCGAAAAATTTTTTCCCCCCTCGAACGAGCGCGAGTTCCATCGAGAAATGATTGATATCGTCCATCAAGCTGTCAGATTCATGCATTTATTAAAATATGAAATTCGAGAGGCGTTGCATATTGAAGTTTGAGATAATCCTCAAAAATGGTTAATAATTTTTCAACGTTACGTGCTTTCTCTGATTGCGCAAGGAAGAACGTGCGAGTCAACATTGAAGTGTAACATTTCCGTCACGCGTGGTACTCCACAACTGTTTGGGAATACTGAACATGAGTGATTACTGTTATTAGAGATCGATGTATTAAATTGTTGCAGAGTAAATAAATTCGCGTTTAATAATACTCTCTGCGGTTGGAGTTTATGGTAATGAGGCATGCAATTTTGACGAATAATTGGCAAGAAAATGCCCGGGGAACAATTTTTATGGTTGCCATCTAAAAGTCCCCGTAAATTTACCGGTAAATTGTTAGCTGGGTGACATTGAAATTCATTCAGGGGGACGAAATAAAGAAATTGCAGATTTCTCGGAAACTTCAATCAAATTTTAAAAAATGTAGCAGTAGAAAGGCGAAAATTCCCCAACTCACTTGAATTTTCAATTAAAAAATATTGAGTATTTTATTTAACCGAAAATTCATGAATTTAATCAGCTAATTTTCATGCAGTAATTGAATTTGGGAAATTGATAGTTTCCATTGATTTTTCAATAAAATTCCTCAACTTACTTGGATTTTTTAATAAAATATGGATGTCTAAAATTAATTGGAAATTTAAGGATAATTTAATTGAAATTCACTGTTTCCGTTGATTTTCCCATAAAATTTTGAAGTTTCGCTGACGAAATTCCCCGAAATTTCAGTGAAACTACACTGAAATTTTTTATAAAAATTCTAGTGCTAGCATGGGAAAAGAGGCGCGAAGTGACGGCCAGGAAAAAATTCCAGTGCCGGCACTAGAAATTTTATTGGGGAAAATGTGAATTTTTCCCCGTATTTCTGTAAAAATTTCACAGAAATCCCCAGAAATTTTACCAGAAATACCAAGAAATTTTACCTTAACAGCACTAAAAATTTTCACAGCCGGTGGATTGCGATTTTTTCCAGTACTTGTACTAGAATTTTTCTAGAAAATTTCTCTCCGGGTAATGCGAAAAAAAAAATCCAAAAATCATAACAATGTGTATCTGCGATCTAGATATAGCGATGTCAATGCCACAATTAAAGAGATGTGGATGTCGACTTTCACATCCGTCGTTACATGATTCCCCGATGAAAAGAAGATCCCGAATGAGTCATGAAGACGAGCGTAGTAACCTTGATCTTCAGATGAGCAAGTGCGCGGGTCGTCGCGCTCAAGATAAAATACGTTCTGCATCTTTATTCACGATCTTCCGGAAAAGAATCAACGTCTTGCATAACAACACGGATGCCCGCGCGAGGTCGCCGATTCATCCTCGGTGGTGAAGGAACTCACATCACCTCGGGCATCTTCAATTACTCGGTCGTTCAACTATACCGGGCTTCTTCATCTTACGAAATCCCACTCTCCCAATCTGCAACTCCCGAAAATCATGATAAATCGGGCGATTACGTGACACCTTCATCTCGTTTTTAAATTATTGAATCGCGTCTGATGGGTGTCTGACAGACAGCAGGTGCACAAATGGAATGGGAGAGTGTGGGATAATTCGGGCTACTTTCGTTACGAAGAGAAGCTGTCATAATAGGCCACTCAAAACACTTTCACTGATTTCATTCATGGAATGTGTATCGAAAAAAATGTGTAATGAGAATTAATCTGAAGATGTGGGTAAAAATTAGCGAAAAAAATGTGGTCACAGCAGAAGCGAATGCCTGAATTTTATTCACCTTTTGTAGACATTTTTCGAACACAAAAAAACGCCTCAATAAAATGAAAATGTATCTGAATTTCAGACGAACAGGTGCCCAAACATCTTAATTCATGTTTGAAATTCAGGCGAATTGTCATTTTATTCAGACGTTTTTTAGTGTCTGAAAAATGACTACAAAAGGTCTGTGAAATTCAGACATTCGTTTTTGCTGTGATTGTGGGGCAGAATGGAATTTTTGTTGTTGTGAATATTTGAGAATGTCAGATAAAACGTCAGAATCGCAAATACAGAAAAATCTCTAGTCGTTTTAATATAATTTTTGTTGAAAATTAATAAACTTAGATATTCATCTTATTGGAAATGGTTTAATGCCATGAAATTAATACATCATTGCGACTAGATCTTATAGAGTCAAATACCCAATTTATTAATGCTAAAACAATTAATTTCCTCTAAACAATTATTTAATTTCCAGTTAACAAAGTCATTGTTTAAACTGTTCTTTTGACGTGTATAAAAACGCAAATAGAAATGAAATTGATTCAATTCAAATAGACCATTTCCATCGCTGTAAATATCGATCATTTTCTCCAACTCTTTACTATTACGTAAGAACGGCATTGTGCCTCATTCCCACATCTAATATCATCACCGATGTCATGATGACAATGAATCTTCATTCTTCGAGGTCCCGAGTATTTTTAAAATAAGAAGAAGCAGAAGAATTATTAAATCGAAAAATGATACTTGAATTCATTAGCGAAATGGTAAAACGGTTTAAGTCGACTCATCTCCCAGTTGAGTTTTTGAGGAATATTTCCGAACCTAAGGGAGATAGCGGATTTTTCGTTAATAATTACATTTGTTGTAGCTCTCAATCGGCTCTACAAAAAAGGTTATAACAACAATTTTGCTATCTCGCTTGGATTTCGTGATGTTCATTGAAGTCTGGCCAATAGTCAAGATTGACTTATACCGTTTTACCACTTCGCCACTGAATTGAAATAAAATTATCGTCCACTCCGCATTATTTACAAATCTTTATTGAATTATTTCATAAAAATCTCGCTAAAACAGTCTGTGCAAATACATAAATATCATTCATGTCGAGTACTCAATTACGCGCAACTTCATCAGATCCATGAAAAATCAGTCATTCTCGGTCGATTCGGCTTAGTGGATTAAATGGGCATAGGGGGCTGGTGCAGCGTAGGCCAGGGGTTTGGCGAGTGCCGGCGCGGCATAGGCAACTGGAGCGTGTGCGACAATTGGTGCTGCTTTAGCAATGGCCGGTTCTTTGTGAACGACTGCGTTGAATCCATTGTGGGGATCGGCGGTGTAGTCCACGATTCGACGGCTGCCGTCGGCTTCAATGAAGCTGTAGCTACCCTCGACAACGTCGCCGTGTCTGCTCTCGTGCTGTTGTTTGTTGTCCCCGGTTATGGAGTCCTGGACGTCATAGGCGTAGCTGTATTGTGGATTGGGGTCGTATTCTTCATCGATGTGCTTCGTGATGACGGGAGTTGCGACTTTGGCGACGGCTGGAGCGGCATATGCCACTGGGGACACCACTTTGGCTATGGGGGCGGCGTATGCGAGGGGCGCCGCTGCGGCGAGGGGCTGGGGTGCATGGTAATAGTGACCGGTGAGAAGATCACCGGCGTTCACTATCGCCAGGGTCGCACAAAGGATGACAAACTGTGGAGGAAATTATTTTTGTTGATTAGTGATTTTTTTAAATTTGGTGCGTGCACACAATGCGCGCTCATCTATCGCTTCATCTACTTGTGAAAGGCTTCCTTTTGTTCATTCAAATTTCAAATTTATTCAATTTCATACACTCATGAAGGCACTTTAAAAATGAATGACGCATAGGAAATAACGCAATCGATTGTAAAGATGAATGGAAAGAATAATTGATGAATAATTTTGATTCTTTGATCAATTCCATTTCACTTTTCAAAGCGACCCGACAAAAATCCGGAATTGTTGAAAAATGAGGAAAGTGAATCGATTGAAGTGTTATCCATTTTTTAAATATTTCATATCCAAGTCAAAAATCGAATTTCTGCATTAGGGGAATTTTTGGATTTTGAGTCCTTCGTGGAGTCTTTTTCGAAAGTTATTTTTATAATAACACTAGTTATTTGAATAATTTTCGAATCAATTTGGAGAGTTATATGGAGATCATACCTTGAGTGTCATTATTGTTTGTGTACACGACTTGTTGGGAATTGAAACAGAGCACCAAACTGAGTGCAGTACCGATGCATCCCGCATCCTTTATACCCCCTTTCATACCCCTCCACTTTTTTAATCTCTTGATGGTCCATTCAACTAATGGGGACGAGAGGTTCGAAAATTCGCAACAGTGGGGCACGTACACGCAACGGAATTACGTAACTCATGGGTTGTCTGACGGTCATCTGGGTCTTATTATATCAACAGTCTGGGTCTGGGTCCTTTCCTCTATACGTATCTCTGATGTATGCTTTACACGTTATAAGTGCAAAGTTTCTCCTCCGTATATTTCTCATTTACAATGATAAAAGAGAGATATTAGAGATTTAAGTGATGCTGCGTTGCGTCCACTTTTTCAAACTCGTGCAGAGCCTGAGGGTCAATATTAGTGACATATTGTCCCCACTTTTCGTGTATCACCCAATTCGTTTGACTTTGGGCATGCCCACCATTCTCTTAGTTAGGTAATTCGAAATTCGAGTGGAAGGTATCCGTTTTATTAGTTATGATTAGTACTATGCCTATTCGATCGCAGGTATATAAGTCGGCTTCGACTAGAGACCAGCATCAGTCAAACGATCCCACTCGATCACTAAAAATGGCTTTCAGGGTACATAATTTTATATATCTCTGTTCTTCATTGAATATCAGATCGTTGTAACAACTGTGAAAAGTGTCTAATAATCCATTTTTTTCCAGTTTGTTGCTCTCACTACTCTTCTCGCTGTGGCGAATGCTGGCCTTCTGCCTGCAACTTCATATGCGCATTTGAGTCAGACACACTCGAGCTATGAACACGCTGCACCACTCCACTACGCGGCACCAGCTGAGGCCATCCTGACTAAGGCTGTTGACGCCGACTACGATCCACACCCAAAGTACAGCTTCTCCTATGAGGTTCATGATTCGCACACTGGTGATGCCAAATCTCAGCAAGAGTCCCGCGACGGTGATGTTGTGACAGGCTCCTACAGCCTCACCGACGCTGATGGAACCCGCCGTGTTGTTCATTACACTGCTGATGATCACAGTGGATTCAATGCTGTTGTTAGTAAGGAACCTCTTCACGCTGCACCAGCAGCCCACGCTCAATCTCCTGCCTACCACACACAGTCTGCCTACAAATTTGCGGATGATTCTTACTACTATCACTAAAATTTTCTGTTCACAGTGATGTATGAGTATGTTGAAATGTTTTGAAACATAAATGTTAATATGTGTGATGAATAAAGATGTATTTTTTTATGTCAATTTCTGTGCAAATCCGTTAATGTCCCCTATCATATGGCTGCATGTGTACGCTACTAGTCCGTTCGCCATTTTTATAATAATAATAATGATAATAGTGCACTAATGATAATAATAATAATAATAATAATAATACAAGAGAATTACGAGCTCATGAGTTACCGGAATGGGTTCCGATGGGGTTTGTAGGAGATTATTATATAATAATGATAATAATAATAATTATTATTATTATTATGATTATTATTAATTACTATTTGCTGGATAGAGAGCCCTATTGCAGAGGGGGAAAGATGAAATACATGTTTTATACAAAGTGCGCATAAAAAAATTCTAGGGATAGCTTCATTGATATTTTATAGAATAAACGGTAGGAAACAGTGATGAATAGCAAACTGCAGAGAAAAAGTTAAATATGAGCTTTAATTATGTGTAGAAACTAATGGACCAGCAGTCCCCGCTCAACCGCTTAGCAACCATGCACAGCCAAAATTTGAAAGTCTGGTTGAAATCATTTAATGTTTCGTTTACAAACTGGGTAAGAAAGTGAAGAATCGGATGTTGCATTTTGTGTTTTCAATGAATCTTTCATCTTAAAATGAATTGCTGAGCTTCATGCAGGGGAATGATTGAAAACTCAAACGTTGTTCGATGAAAAGAATAATTTCTTAGGGAAATCGAGATTCCACGCTGAGAAATAGTAGTTCTGGCCACTGCCCAGATTTCCAAAATTTAGAAATTCAAATTGAATCATCTGTAATAGAGTTTGAATAAAGGAAAAAACGAAAAAAATCATGTCTGTTTTATTAGAGCTCCAGTCCGAATTTCATATTTTGTAATTTCTTCCTCCGCGAACTGTTCAATTGCCGTTTAGAGGATGAATAATTGAAAAATCAGTCGCTATTCAAGGAGAATTCATTTGCGGAAAATCGACTTTCTTCCCCTTCACCCCGGAATGAAGAGAGCACGGAATAGTATTTTACCTCCCCTGGTTAGAAGATCGTTTTCCGTTAGGGCGAAGGCAGGAAGTAGGATTCCCCTCCCGTAAACCGGAAGGGAAATGTCACTTTACGTCCGCCGGGAGGAAGAGAATTGAGTGGACCGGAGTAATTCATTGTTTTGAAATTCAATTCGAAATTAGCATGTGAAATAGCGAAAGATGTGAGGATGGATTTTTCGAATTTGCAGTGAATTTCAATCTCCATTGACTTTTGAATTACGAGCAATGAGAGGAAAAAAATTTCAAATTGAGAATTTTCAAATTCAATGGTTTTTACCTGATTTTTAAATTATTGCTCTCATGTTTACACTTTGCAGATTGAACAAAATAGAAATTGAAGATACAAATTTTGGGAATGAATCGTTACGATTTTTGCAATTGAACAAACTAATAAAAATCTGATAGGGAACATTAACAGATTTGCACAGAGGTTGACATAAAACAATACATCTTTATTCATCACACATATTAACATTTATGTTTCAAAACATTTCAACATACTCATACATCACTGTGAACAGAAAATTTTAGTGATAGTAGTAAGAATCATCCGCAAATTTGTAGGCAGACTGTGTGTGGTAGGCAGGAGATTGAGCGTGGGCTGCTGGTGCAGCGTGAAGAGGTTCCTTACTAACAACAGCATTGAATCCACTGTGATCATCAGCAGTGTAATGAACAACACGGCGGGTTCCATCAGCGTCGGTGAGGCTGTAGGAGCCTGTCACAACATCACCGTCGCGGGACTCTTGCTGAGATTTGGCATCACCAGTGTGCGAATCATGAACCTCATAGGAGAAGCTGTACTTTGGGTGTGGATCGTAGTCGGCGTCAACAGCCTTAGTCAGGATGGCCTCAGCTGGTGCCGCATAGTGGAGTGGTGCAGCGTGTTCATAGCTCGAGTGTGTCTGACTCAAATGCGCATATGAAGTTGCAGGCAGAAGGCCAGCATTCGCCACAGCGAGAAGAGTAGTGAGAGCAACAAACTGGAAAAAAATGGATTATTAGACACTTTTCACAGTTGTTACAACGATCTGATATTCAATGAAGAACAGAGATATATAAAATTATGTACCCTGAAAGCCATTTTTAGTGATCGAGTGGGATCGTTTGACTGATGGTGGTCTCTAGTCGAAGCCGACTTATATACCTGCGATCGAATAGGCATAGTACTAATCAGGAATGAGAGGAATAGGCTCCACCCAAATTTCGAATTACCTAACTGAGAGAATGGTTATCATGCACATTTTCAAATGAATTATGTCGTATACGAAAGATTTTTTACACTCATACATTTGGTGATTTTTACTTCAGTCCTGAGTACACGATGTAATTAAGTCATCAGGCCCGAGGTGCCCAATCAGTTATTTTCAAGATTGGATTTTTTCTTCAAATGATAATTGATTTGCCATTGAATCGCTTCTCGGATGACTACTGAAATATTAGAATCGACAAAAACCTCCAGATAAAATATTTCTAAACACAGCCCGTAGCGAAAAATGAGATCTCTTTTTCAGCATTGTTGATCTACTCTCTTTGAAGATTAAAACAATCCGAGTAGATTCGGTAATATGTTCTTAACATTCTATTCGTGGTCAATAATTCGAACATTTCTGGCAAAATTTTTATTTTTCCCGCTACCTCAAAATTTTCTAGCTAGAATGAGTTATCGCTATAATATGTACTGACAATTATTTTTCATTCACAACAATTGAAATAGGGGTACTGCATAGCATTCTTCCGTTAAATAGAATATGAAGATTGGATTTTCATATTAGATACGTATTTTCTGCTTACTTGCTTGTTAATTCGTATTATGGAAGAATTAATCGCTTATGTTTAGTGTTATATCACCTATGACTGCCCAGGGCCGAAAGTAGATTGTCTTTGGGTGAGAGGTTTGAATTTTTGGTGCGAGGCCAATCATATATAAACGGATTTAAAAATTGACTAGACATCAGTTTTGGTCCAGCAAGCAGTCCAAGAATAACTAAAATGGCATTCAAGGTATTTACAGTTTTGCATTGCACTCTGTCTTACCATCATATCATTACACTTTACAATGACTCTGAAATTGAACATAAAGTATTGACTACATTTTTGAATTACATTTTTAGTTCATCGTCCTCGCGGCTTTCCTCGCCGTTGGCAACGCCGGAGTCCTTCCAGCGTACCACGTGGAGCACTCAGCTCCCCTTGTCTACGCACAATCATCCGTAGTCAAAGTTGATGCTGAGTATGATGCCCACCCGGAATACACATTCTCGTACGGTGTCCACGACTCATTGACTGGTGATGCCAAGACTCAAGAGGAGTCCCGTAACGGGGACAAGGTTGAGGGTAGCTACAGTCTCGTTGAAGCTGACGGCAGCAAGAGGATCGTTCACTACACCGCCGATGATCACAATGGATTCAATGCCGTTGTTGAGAAGCAGCCAGCAGTTCACTCAGCTCATGTTGTGCACGCCGCCCCTGTTGTTCCTGCTGCACCTGTTGTCATTAAATCTGCCCCAGTGTACCACGCTGAACCTGCATACAAAATTGCAGCCCCAGTTGCTCACTCCTACAGCGCACCCCTTGTTCACTCCTACAGCGCTCCAGTGGCTCATGCCTACAGCGTTCCAGTTGCTCACGCCTACGCCCCAGCACTCTACCACCACTAAAAACTTGTATTCTTTTGTATCGGCTCCAACTTTCATGTACCGCAACAATTTTAATGTAAATAAATCGCAATAGTACTTGAATTACTCTTTGTGTTAATTGATAGGTGTATCCTCTCTTCAATTGTGTTACGAAGTACTTCATGAATTTTGGTCTCTGAATATCAAAATTGGATGGGAAAAATTCGAAATGCATTCTTTTTAGTCGATAAATGTGGACGTTTCCGTGAAAGGGGGCAACTGTAGCGGTAATCGAGTTAAGTAAACTCCGATAATTGTTGTCAGGTTCCACAAATTTCAAGTGTGAAATAAGCCAGGAAGTCTAAAGAATGATGTCGCTAAGGAAAACCGGAAAATTTGAATATCTCGAAAACCAGATGCGAAAAAGTAGGCCAAATGAATAATTAATAAAAGTAGGAAATGATGAATAATTAATACGTTATAGGCGATGAAATATTAAGGGATAGTGGGGTAAACGAGACAGTGGGGTAAAACAGATAATAATAAATAAAAAATGGTCAGTTGGATAGACTGGACAAATTGTTTGAAGAAAAATGTATGAGAAAAGCGATAAAAGCATGCTTTGCAAATATTGTGCGCGCAGCGTTCCGAAATGATGGTCAATGGCTATCTCCCTCTAACTCCCATCTCATCAATGCTTATCCTAAGCAATATCATTGTCTAGTGAAAAGAGCTATGGAGTAATCAAGCGTCACATCATTCCACTTTTCCTCGCAATTTCCTACTCATTAAATGAAAATGAAGAAATAAAAAAAAATAGTACATTTCTATATCAATAATGGATTAGTAATAAATTGAAGGGTTGAATCGAATTTCGAACCCTAAAAAGACTAAAACAAAAGTATAATAAATAATTGGTGTGTAACAGTAGAAAGCACATTAATTTTTCACTCCGTCACGTCTGTTTTTCGAGATATTGACGTTCTCCCTTTGCCAGCTAACATTGCAACTAATGTCGAATGAATCAGTCTCTTATTTCCGGTTCATTTGGCGATCTCATTCTCTAATGGTCCATTTATGCTTAAAATTTTTGGACCTTGACCAAGAATATCAGAGTACACTTAACTCCAATACCACTGCAGTCATCCGCTTTATGTGGCCGTTCATATTTATTAGAATTAAAAATAGATTTTTTTTTAAATTCAATTTTAATATTCCGTAAAAATAGTTATTTTCGTCACCAGACCGAAAGTTTTTTCGACCGAGTGATGAATATAATTTTTCTTCACAATGTCCGTAAACGGCTTTGACAGACATAAAGTCTCGTAAAACGACATTTTACAGTGAGTGTGACGAAAAAATTCATGGAGTACTTCATGACAAAAATTAAAGGCAGGACACACTTATCAAATAATGCAAAGCGTAATTCAAGAGCTATTGTGATTTATTTACATTAAAATTGTTGTGGTACATGAAAATTGGAGCCGATACAAAAGAATACAAGTTTTTAGTGGTGGTAGAGTGCTGGGGCGTAGGCGTGAGCAACTGGCGCGCTGTAGGCATGAGCAACTGGTGCGCTGTAGACATGAGCCACTGGAGCGCTGTAGGAGGGAAGAAGGGGTGCGCTGTAGGAGTGAGCAACTGGGGCTGCAATTTTGTATGCAGGTTCAGCATGGTACACTGGGCTAGATTTAAGGACAACAGATGCAGCAGGAACAACAGGGGCGGCGTGCACAACATGAGCTGAGTGAACTGCTGGCTGCTTCTCAACAACGGCATTGAATCCATTGTGATCATCGGCGGTGTAGTGAACGATCCTCTTGCTGCCGTCAGCTTCAACGAGACTGTAGCTACCCTCAACCTTGTCCCCGTTACGGGACTCCTCTTGAGTCTTGGCATCACCAGTCAATGAGTCGTGGACACCGTACGAGAATGTGTATTCCGGGTGGGCATCATACTCAGCATCAACTTTGACTACGGGTGATTGTGCGTAGACAAGGGGAGCTGAGTGCTCCACGTGGTACGCTGGAAGGACTCCGGCGCTGCCAACGGCGAGGAAAGCCGCGAGGACGATGAACTAAAAATGTAATTCAAAAATGTAGTCAATACTTTATGTGCAATTTCAGAGTCATTGTAAAGTGTAATGATATGATGGTAAGACAGAGTGCAATGCAAAACTGTAAATACCTTGAATGCCATTTTAGTTATTCTTGGACTGCTTGCTGGACCAAAACTGATGTCTAGTCAATTTTTAAATCCGTTTATATATGATTGGTCTGGCATCAAAAATTCAGACCTCTCACCCAAAGACAATCTACTCTCAGCCCTGGGCAATCATAGGTGATATAACACTAGAACATAAGACATTAATACTTCCATAATACGAATTAACAAACAACTAAGCATGTTCCCAAATTCTGATGTATCACCATTGGCATTTGACTTCTTCTCCGAGTGTGCGTTGTAGATTGTACACAAGGCCTCTTCAGCAGTGGAGCCATTCAAGGATGTTATTCTCTCTAATGATTGGCTTGTGCCCTTCGACAATGTCAGGTACATTCTCATTTTCAATAGTGCAAACATTGAAATAACATTTTAATGAGTGGCCAAATAATTAGGTGTGATGTAAGCATTGAACAAAACGAGTTATGTTGGCGCGATGTTACGTTACCACAAGTTGTATGAAAAAAAGAAAAGTGGATCAGGTGTCTGATCCAAATGGCTCCACCCAAAAATCTGGGGCGTGGTGTGTGGATCGCCTGTTGCGTCACTACAGTTGTACCATACGTATGCCCCGGGGGGACATTCAACAAAATCTTTAACCCAAAATTTTTTAGTGTCAATAGGCAAATGTGTGTCATTTGTAAGAGATTAATTCGGAGATTGGTGATATGCGTTGGTTGAGAGCTCTCTTTCAGCGGCGAAATATTTCAGTTTTACGAAATATTGGGGGCACCAACGATTATCAATTTATCATGGACCCGCCTAGGAAATACTATGAGTTTCGTTTCTTCATTTGGTGTTGCCCAATTTTATTCTCCAGTCGTTCTACTTTTTCATTTTTTTTTTCGCTCGTGGAAGGGGATTAATTGAAGTGCAAAACCAATTTTTTGTCAAATTTAGACGGGAATGTGCACTGTGGCCAGGGGCCAGGGCGGTGTCTTATTGTTCGAGAGACACCGTCAAGTTAACCGGTTGCCCTTGAATATGGCCAGAGTGTACCGGCGTCTCGCCGGGAACGAGCTCATTACATTGCCACTTTCGAGTCAGGGGTTTATTTATCGTGAAATTGCGGCAACTCGATATGGAATTACAATACAGCATAATGATTCCGGATAATTCAAATAAGGAGAGGTGGCAACAATATCATGAAAATATATTCGAATGAATTTTCTCTCTTTCGTCGGGTTTCTTATCCGGTAACCATGGGCATTTGTGGTGTATTTTATTTGCAGCTGAGGATTGTCAACACGGAGAAAAATGTCTAATGGAAATTGCTTTGAAGACGTGGGTACGAATTACCGAACGACATGGAATCGACGGACAGAGGGGAAATGTAATGAACGTTACTGTTTTGTCGGGAATTTTGAAAAACCTCAGGCGAAATTTGAACTCTTCGGGCAAGGGAAAATTCCAACTCTTAGTACTATAATTTTTGCAATTTTATAATTTCATTGGTTTTACCCTCACATCACAATGGGCTGCTACAGAAAACAGTACAAATTTCTCTTCATTAATTATCAAAACACACAAAACTTGATAATTTATTAAACAGTATATCGTGAAAATCAATTTGAGATATCGTGATACTCATTTTTTCTTGCTTAGTTTTTTAAATATATCACAAGAAAAATTACGATTCCAGTAAAAATTACACGTACACTGTTTGCAAAAAACAGAAATCTCATTGAAAGTTGACTAATAGTTTCCAAAACAGCGACATTGAATTCGAATTAGGAGTGACAAAATAATGGAATTTCAGATTTCAGTGGCAACTCAATGAAATGCCAAATTTTTAAGCCACTGGAAGAGGAGAACATGAATTCGTTGAAAATTCAAGATATTCATCTGAATTTTTTATGAATTTGCATGGAATAATTGAACTGTATTCAAAATTTGGAATTGAGTTTTCAAAAATTTTCAACAATGTACAATCTAAAATTGTCCGAATAAAAAAATCTACACAATTTTACACGTTCTATTCATTTTCCGATTAATAACTGTCCAATAACGTATTTCGCAACGAGTTTACCATTCGCGTCAGGGGCTTTTTCACTGCATCATTCACCGCGTGAAATGGCTGGTCATTGTAGAGATGAAGATATTTTTCATCGCCCACGATCAAATAATGCAGAATATGATGAATTAATACCCCAGAGTGCCGGTTGCTATCATGATTTATTAATGCAGCATGGAAAGTCGATCTTATTATGGAACTCACTGCAGTGGAGGTTGAAAGTACCTGTCAAGGTCATTCGTTTTGAGGTCTCAATTTTATTCGATAACTTTTATAATAATACATCCGATATTTCCTGAAGGAGTTGCTCCTCTCATGCAATGTTGTTCGAATTGGATACTTTAAATTGCGTCTTCCATGCACATGTGATTACAATGTACACCGGTATTGCCGTAATGTGGCCCAGTTTTGTATTTAGGCGATCGCAGTGAAAGTATTCTGCGACATTCGTGTTTGTTAGTACGCATCGCGCGTGGACAATTTCAACTTGCTAGAATTGAAATCAATGGTAATAATCACATCCGTGAAGTCATCGCTTTCTGTAACTCCTCGGCGTTGTAATGATGAATAAAAAAATCATACGCATTCACGTAAAAAAGATTTAAAAATTAATTATAGGATATTCGCTCTCTCTAAGAAATTCTATAATTTTTCTTTTGGATTTTGACGAAAATCCTAATGGAGTTCTATTAGAAAATTCTGTTCTTTTTTTGCGCCAATTCTATTAGAAATTAGGGAAATTTCACGAGCGTTTTTCGATAGAACATTTTTTCGCCGGAAATACTGTATAAATTTTTATTTTTTCATATTATTTATTGCATTGGAATTATTTTTATAAGAATTCTTGAACAAGAATTTTACCATTTTTTTCCTCTTGGATGTTCTTGCGAGAAGCGAAGGAAAAGGCAACGAAATTAATTAACAAACTTTATGCCCAAGAATTTCTATAAGAATCACAATAGGTTCTGATTTTTCTACTGAATTTTTTGATATATGTGTTACGATTTTTCATGTGCCATTTTTCCGGAAGAAACGTTCTCTTTGCGAGATATTTTCTAAACCGATTTATTCCCGAAAGAATTTGGTGTAGGAACCCAATTGGAAACGTTGAAACCTCCCGCGGGGTCTCCCCGGATATAATTCAGAAGAGAAAACTGACAGAAGACCTCTCGCTAAAGAATTGTACCACACTGAGAAGAAAATTCATTACGCCGAATAAAATAGTTTGAAACAAGAGCTTCAGCGATTTTTCATCGCAATTTCGAGAGTTAGTTTGTCTTACACATATTTTTGTGGTATAAATAATTTTTTCGGGTCAATTTCAAATTTTTCCAAATTACAGGAATTAATCCACACGAATTAATCAATATTAATCAATATGAATGCTTTCCGCAATGACAATTTTTTAAAATTTAAGATATTAATGATTGCATAGTTAAATTTCTTGTGTACTTAATTTGATCCAGAAATTGCTCTTGTGCTGTTGAGTCTGTATGAATAAAAAATAAAAAATGGGAACGAAATGAAATTTTTTTTATAAAAATGACAATTTTTCTCTAGAAATCACTGATAATCTTATTCTTATCTTACTCAGCGTCCAGAATCGTTGGAAATTGGTGATGGATTTCCAAAGATCCAAATTTTTGTTCCCGATGAAATTTCCTCAAGTCACCTCATCAGACTCCTCGCCCGGTAATATGTAATCCCGAACAAAAAATTGGTAGAATAACCCCACCGCAATTATCGTAAAAAGTAAAATGAAAGAGAATAAAACCCTTCAGCAAATCAGTAACTGTTGCTGAATCCTATAAAAAAATTCTGGTTGCAGGCTGGATCGGCCGCTCGGCGCCTTCCGATAATGTGAACGGTCTTACCAGTATTGTCCCTTTCTACTGCCGGTAACTCGTCAGCAGCTCGCATCTCATTCCGACTGCTCACCGGTAATTTGCCGGTGGAGGCACTACTGTCGGATGCATTGGACCCCTGCCCCACAAATTTCAATTTCCCGACACGTCATTCCCCCCAGAATTTTAAGGATCACCAAATCATCCCCCAATCTCGGATAGTACGTTGAGATAAACCCCTCCCCTCCTCGCCGGCCCTCTCTTCCCCTTCACCCCCCCAATTCACCAGTCAAACGAGATTTATGATGTGGGTACATATCAAGTCTTCGGGAAAACCGTGTTAATACATTTGAAATTAATTTCATATCAACGGCGCAACGGAATATCAACACTAATGTGGTTACGTGAATGTTGAGCGATAGTAAGGTAGTTTGTATCTAATCATGCCACTCAACTTGGCGCGTTCGTGAGAGGTGAGGAGTAAATGTTGTGCGCCGCTCGGGGGAGATACAACGGACAAACTTTGAAAGTGTATTTCATGAAGCTGCTTCCGCTTTACAAATAAAGTGAGACTCCTATAAAAGATAATTCAATTTTCACGTTTAATTTCTATTAGGAGGGAATTTCATTCCCGAGGGAAGAACCAATTTTTAGTTTATGGCGAAATTAAATGAATGCACAATTTAGGGAATTGGAAAGTTTAATTGAATTTCAAGAATTTTGTTGTTGTCGTTACTAATTCGTTTTATTATTACTAGTCTTATGGTTAGTAATACATTCAGGTGTTTTATTTTAATGTATGTGCGGTGGAACGGAAGTTCTGTTGTATCCCTGAAGGAATTGAAATAAAAATATGCTACAGTGAAATTTGTGATTTTTTTATAGAAAAGTTTGACGCAGAGGTAAATTCTGTCGTATTTTCAGTAATATTTACTCAGTTTTGTGCTTAAATTCAGTAGCGATGTGGTAAAACGGTAAAAGTCAATTTTCACTATTGGCCAGTTTTCAATGAATATCCCAGAACCTAAGGGAAATAGCAAAATTGTTGTTATAACCTTTTTTGTAGAGACGATTGAGAGCTACAACAAATGTAATTACAAAAATTTCGCTATTTGTCTTAGATTCGGAAATATTCTTCAAAAACTCAACTGGGAGATAAGTCGACTTAAACCGGTTTACCACTTCGCTACTGAATTGTAATTTTCAGTTATTTCTATCTCAAGGAATAGAATGAAAGAGATCACGGGAACATCTCGTCTATCAATTATCATTATCATTACAGTTTAATTGAATTTCAAGAATTTTGTTGTTGTCATTATTATCTCCTTTTATCATTATTAGTTTTAGTTTTAGTTATTTAGGTTATTTTATTTGAATGTATGTGTGATGGAACAGAAGCCCTGTTGTATCTCTCAGGGAATTGAAATAAAAACATACTACAGTGAAATTTCTGATTTTTTTAATAGAAAAATTCAACGCAGAGATGAATTTTATCGTATTTTCAGTAATATTTACTCAATTTTGTTCATAATTTTGGTTGATTTTTTTCTCCATGCTTAAATTGTAATTTTCAGTTATTTCTTTCTCAAGGAATAGAATGAAAGAGATCAAGGGAACATCTCGTCTATCAATTATCGAGGAAGGACGCTGTTCCTTCGAGGAGCTTTACATGTCGCTAAGGTCAAAGAAAGCCAGAACTTTAGGAAACGTGCGGTGGCTCTAACAATCCGACATTGCCAAGAAAGTTTCTGACTTGAGCCGACCAGGAGCTCCCCTAGGAAGCCTCGATATCCCCCCCCCCCCGCCCAGTCTCTTCTACTGAATTATCTCGGTGAACGAGGCAACAACAGACTCTCCCCCTCTGTCGTAGAGTTTGCTTAATCCGGAATAATGATTGCTTTTGAACCAGAAAAACATCATTGGATGTTTGTTGAGAAATTGACTTTCAGCATCGTCGAATGTTCGATGCGAGTCGAAACGAGAGAGAATGAAAATCCGGGCGGAAAACTTTTCACAGGGGATAACGAGTTTTCTGGGAACTACGAGAGGAGAAATGGAGTTGCTTGAGGAGAAAAATTATAATATTTGACGGAAAAAAGTGTGAGAGACAGATATACCCATTTATTTTTCATTTACACTCACTGTTGGAAAATTACTTCTGAAATTTCGAGTTAAAAATGTTGACAATTTCAATACGCATTTACCGGTCACGTCGTCGTAAGTTTCAATGGTTTCAAGCAAAAAAGACGGGAAATAAGACGGAAATTTTGCAACTTTCGTGAATTTTTCAATTAATTTACGAAAAAATTGGAATTGAACACATTTTTACAATTTTCGATCGTTTTTATTGTAAATTATTTGTTGTTAAAAAATATAGATTTTTTACTAGAATCAAAACTCACCCCTAAATTGACATTGAATCAGATTTAAGAGAAAAGCGGTTATGAAATTTCTAGTTTTAGGTAGAATTCAAGGAAATTCACGAGTTTTAGGTGGGAGTGAGATGGAAATTTCACAATTTGATTGAATTTTCAATGGAACATGAATATTAAGAAACAAAATGACATGAGTTTTCAATTTCTCCCCGAATTTTCGCGACTTTCAGAATTTTCACAGAATAATTAAACTGAAAAATCAACTATTTTATCAATTTTTAGATGATTTGAGCAGAGAATCGCCGTAATACTTGATTTTTCCATGACAAGATTGCCTGAAATTTCGATGGACCTCGAACACGCTAAAAATTTCCGGAATTTGGCGGAGAAAATTTTTTATTTAGACGAGAATTTTTAACAGTGTACCCCAAGACGGCACGGAGCCGTGCAGTAGTTCCCCGGCATTAACAGGGTCATGCCAAGTCAACGCGACGCTCATTCATGAATACACATGCACGCTTTGATACTACACCGCCTCTTGATCCCCACATTCCCTCAAAGAAGGGTGATAAACATCAAACCCAACAAATTTGTAACGATAAATTCATTAATACCTCCCGGCCCCGGTAATTTCAAATAAATCCCAAATTTGTTTGTAAATATATGCATCGGCGAGGGAGAATCTGCGGTGTTAAAATGGGGGTTGAATGTTATTCGTTCACTGAGCGAGTGAGCGCGGGCAGAGAGAGATGGTGAGCTTTATTCAGTGGCGGTGGAAACGCGAGGGCGCGCAAGCCAGTTGGTGGCGAGACTTCGCCCGCGCAGCTTCCACCCTTTGAAATTCAACATCATCCTCACAGTTCCACACAAGCTCTGTGTTTTTTTCCCACTCATTCCCAAAGTTTTCTTAACAATCAAACTTGAGAATCAAACTAGCTGAGAAATCAACAACCCAGTGAATGTATTTGTTGTAACGAGAGATTTTACAAATTTCTCCATTTGCTTTTCTCCTTCGCTTGATGCCGATTGATAATCAACAATGCGGGGGCTCGCAGTATTCATCAAAATTGTCTTAATGACCAGAGGTCAGTATGAGCACCCGAATAATCACTCTCTGCATCGACGATTCAATATCAATAATCATGTCAATTATTGCATGCATTACGACGGAAAAAAAATTCACAATCACTGTGAAATGAAGCGTAAAAACCCGATGAGCGAGTTTTCCAACTGAAATGATACTCGAATTTGGTGTGGACATGATATTACTTTTAATGTCTGTTTCATGTGATGCACATGTGAAAAGTTGAATTTTCCGATGGTTGATTGTGAGCGTCAAGCGTGGAAAAAGCACTGAAAGTGAGGTAGAACTGAGTATAGTTAGAGGATATAAAACTATGCTGTACAGTTGAAAGTACGGAATACCGTCTGTACGGTAGGATGAAAAGAGACGGGTGATGGGGTTGGTTCACTGATTGCGAGTTACCCGTTCTATCTATCCTGGTTATACCGAGACACGTGTTTTCTCGGCCATTCGAATTAGCTTCGTACCCCCAAAACTCCACTCTCGTCCGAATAATTCCAATCACTTTTCGTTCGTGATTCCCCTGTCTCTCTCTCTCTCCCGCTTTTTTCCGTCTATTCGCGCTTACAGTTGCTGGACCGGTAACAATGTGCCCCCCAACCTGCCAAATTACTCTCGGGGCTCTATTCGTGCTCCGAAAACTTTGAATAACGATACAAGTAAGGGACAATATTCTAGATTGAATGTTTCTTTCATATTATTTATGTATTTCTCAGTTAGGAGGGGGGAGGGGGGGAATCCATTCCAATTATGTCTTTTAATTTAGTATTTTGACGGTGTTTAAAAAATAGCAATCCGGTGAAAACATCGAAATTGAAAAAATAATCTATCGGAACTGTAAACTTGAGTTCAACTATTCAAGAAAAATAAGGGGAATTCAATCCGATTTGAGGTGGAACATTCATGATTCCTTGAAAATTCAAGTAAAATGTGAAATTTTACTTCCGTTGAGTATTGGAATTCTGTCGTGGATCGGTAAGCTAGGATAAGTGCGTTATAAAAAATTTTGTTTTGCCTAATCCCTTCCACAAATTGTTGGGAAGCGATTTAACACAAAAATGGACTTACCTTTATTTACAATTCACCACATAATTTAGTTTGATGTTCACTTCAAATTCAGAATTTTAAGAGGTCTTTACCCCAAGTCAAACACAGTTGAATTTTATTTTTAATTTAAATAATCGCTGCAGTTGAGTTCTCAATTATGTGAATTTGGATTCAATTGAAGATCAAATCGATCATGGAATTTTTTATTCATCTTGAGAATTTAGCAAAGTTTTTCGTGGTGAGCGATAAATTTTCAAATCAATTACTGAACTCGAACGTAGTGAATATCAGTTTCAATTACGTGCAAAATAGTTGCTTGAATTTTCACAATTTCATAGACTATTCCAGAAATTGACTCAACATATATGGAAATTTGAAGTGAATAGTTGCTGAAAATTTTAACATGTTTCACGTGAAATTTCAGGAGTCAACTTCATAGTTAGGTGAAAAAAACTTCCAAACAATTCTAATTGTCGAAACTTCAAACCTCAATCTAAATAAGGGACAATATTTCGGATTGAATGTAAAGAACATGAATGTGACTTCGAAATGAACGTTACTGTGAGCTTGAATGTGTTCAAACATTTGTAATCGTCAAAACGTAAATTTATCAAAGCAAATAATGGACAATATTCTAGATTAAATGTTTCTCTAAATTTCATATTTTTAGTTATTAAATTAAATTATTAATTTTAATTCCATTGAATGTTTTTGACTAAAATTTCCAATACTATTGTATTTGAATTGTATTTGAAGTCTATTTCCATACACTGATATTTGATGATAACTCCCACGAATGGTTCCGGAAATTTCAGCCAAAAATGATTACTTGCCCGCATTGCAGTGATGCGTTTCTAGAATGTATCCAATTATTTTTCAAATTATTAAAGCAAATAATGGACAATAATCTATTCTAGATTAAATGTTCCTCTCATATCATTAATTCAAAACAAAATCTACTCCTATTATATCTCCCAACTCATTAATTTGACTACCCCGTTGAAAAAAAAACTACTCTGTAAGCAGCGCTGGTTGGCAAGTCTTTTCGTCCTTTAAAAGTTTGATTAAAATTTTCTCAGAGCATGCGACCCACCTCTTTAGGAAACATTGCCGCTCACAGCAGTGTCCTAAACTCTGCAAACTACTAAATTTTGAAATTTCAATGGAGACACAAACTAACGTATTTCGCTGAGAGAAAAGAGAGAATGAGGTACAGAATGAGAATTTCACAAGTTTGAACATAATAAAGAGCGAGAGTTGGAAAAGATGCTGGGGGGTACTGTGGGTATGGTAAGCTAAGGAGAGTAAAGTTTTTCCTTGTTTCGGAAAGCTTACGGTATTATTTGATAGAGCGTATCGTCGAGCGCAGTAAATCGGTGTACCTTTAGGTATAGGTCAACGCCGAAAGCATTCCGCAGGGAGACTGGTCTACTTCTTGTTCCGCCTGCGCTCAGATTTTTCCATCTGTTGTTTATCCACATTTTTTTTTCGTTTGAGAAATCGTTTGGCAAGTTGAGTGGCATAATCAGTGGGTTGAGGGTTTTTTTGCTTGAATGCACGCCAATAATTATTGGTTATTTACTCGATGAGCGGAAACCCCGTGAGCCAACCTTCTGTTTTTCTCCACCAATGACCGGCGATTCTCACACTCAGCAGTCTACTGTGACACTTTTGGAAATTATTGGCTGAAATTTTTAATATTGCTTTCGGAGATCTTTATCCCACTGTGGCTTCATTGAAATTCCCAAGGGCTTCTCTCGATAAAAATTGGTAATTTGATGAAAAAAACAATGGAAACTGTACATTTTAGTTCAATTATTCCGTTAATATGAAAATGTATTTCAGCATTTGCGATTGATTGAAAATTCAAGTGAGGTGAGAAATTGTTGGCTTCCTGTTGCCGGAAATTTACAAGCTGTTGCGGTAAATGAAATTTCATATTTTTAATCATCAAATTAAATTATTAATTTTAATTCCTTGGAATTTTTTTCACTAAAATTTCCTATATTATTGTGTTTGGAGATGTTTATTTCATTGTATCTTAATTATCTCCAAATTAATAATTTGATGGAAATCAGTGGAAACTGTATTTTAGTTCAATTGTTAAAATACATTTCTGCATTTGTGATTTATTGAATATTCAAGTGAGGCGGAAACTTTGTGGCTTCCTGTTGCCGACAAATTAAAAGCTGTTGCTTTAAGATTAAATCTCATCTATCCATCCAAATTAAATTCATATTTTTAATTATTAAATTAAATTATTGATTTTAATTTCATTGAATGTTTTTGACTAAAATTTCCAATATTATTGTTTTTGGAGATTTTTATCTCATTGTGGCTTCATTGAAATTCTGAATCCCTTGAAATTCCATAGACTCTGATATTTGATAATAATTCCCACGAATTGTTCCGGAAATTTCAACCAAAAATGATTACTTGCGAGCGTTTAGTGATGCGTTTGGAGAATTTATCCAATTATTTTTCAAATTTCTGAATTTTTTTCTCTGCGCATCATTCGTCTTCGCATGATCCATCAATACGTCGTATGGAATAGCCGACAAACTAGCGGAAGCCCCGAATACGAGAGACATTGACGGCACCACAGAAATCTACCACGTAAAAACGTATTTTACGAAAAATCCATTTGAATTTATCTGAACGTGACACCGTTCATGGTGACGCTGTCTGGCGTGCGTTGCAAGGGATATATAGATTCACTCGTGAGTGAGCAGAGGAATAGTTACTGCCGTCTAATACGTCTATTACTCAGAAAGGAACATGAAAAATCACGATCGCATGAAAAGAATGCAATTTTTTCAACGCTCTGGAAAGGGGAAAAAATTGCATAGTCAATTCTATGATTATACACTCTCTCTTCTTTCTATTTTCAAATGGAATTTATTTTTATGGGCTGGATTCAAGCTCAAGAGGTCTCTCGCGGCGATGGAATAATAATGCTGACTTGCCACTTGAGAATTTAAGGGGAAATAAATAAGACTACAGTAACAAACACCGAGCTTCAGGAAAGTTGCTGGGCGAGAACCGAGTTAATTAACATAACGAAACGAGTTCTCAAGGAGGAGAAGCGTACGCAGATAATAAATTGAGAAAAAGAAAGGCGAAACAGGGGGGAGGAGGGAGAAAAGCTCGCCGAGTGCTGGATGAGGAGAGCTGTGAGCTGTTGCACGGTCAGATATTTTTGTCTCGACTTTTCAATTTTTGTCGCAGATCCCGGGGATTTTTGTCAAATGATATTTGCATTGGAATTTCGTGAGATCGCGTCATTAGAAAATTACATATTGTGGGGAAAACAAGTCTCATGCGGTTGATTAAATGGGGTCCTACGCAGTTTTTAAACTTCGGAGCAAATAAAAAATTCTGTCTTTAAATAATATAATGAAATGTCTCAAAGAATTTTGTTTTTCTTTTCGTAGTAGATCCTGGGGATTTACATCTCTTTTTAGTTCCACTGAAATATCAAGGGAATCGCCATTAAAAATTCAGAATTTCGTTGAAAAATCAACGAAAACTGTAAATTTTAACTCAATTATTCTCTGAACATTAGTAAAAATCACTAAAAATACCGTAAATATATTCTTGAATTTTCGATGAATTGAAAATTAATTGTAATTGGGCACTAAATATTCATGAATTCATTAAAAATTCATCGTAATTCGGCACTAAATATTCATGATTTCATTAAAAATTCAAATAGGTTGAGGAGTTCTCATCTCAGTGCTGCCCAAAAATTTGGAATTTCACTGAAATCCAAAATTTCGTAATTTTTCTCTCTTGAATCGCATTCGATGTCACTTTTCTCAATATTACTAGTCAAATATTACTCAGTCGCCAATGAAATTTCAACTTTTTTCTAACACTGTGCATGTTGTTTGATAATTTTTACCCACATCTTCGGAACAATTTTTATCGTACATTTTTTTCCTCGTGTCCTCT